ATACTTTCGATATCGATTAAGTATCGATACTTTACTCGATAGGTGCGCGAACGGTGTTCTGACTAAAAGCCATAATACTGTAGTTGATTCCCAATCCACAACTCTGGATGGATCTAGGCTACACTGGAGTTCTAGATGCTGTCGAGTAAACCCAAAAATGTACTGAAATTGTGATAGTTTTCTGGACTGATATGGACATCATCTTGTAACGTACAGGTGGTAACAACTAAGGACACAATCCTGAAGTTATCATCAGATTTGTATTAATTGGGCCGAAGGCCATTAATGTACCCTCCGAAGGACTTGATAATGAGGTTGATTCAAGTCTAGCTAGTTTACACAAAGTCTTTCAACGGGGAACCGAACCCAGAGCTAAGAAAATCTCACTGGACTATTTTCAATCATATCAATTGATAAATGTTCTTTCTTTATTACCTTTTTTTTACTTCTTTCTGTCTGAGTCTTTTAAAATTGAATTCCTATATTGCACATTTGAAATTATAAAATTATAATCTACTAGCGGCCGCCCGCGACTTCCCGTGTACCCGTTCCCGTACCGTTACCCCCTTAAAGGTAGAGTTTCGGAAAATCCTTTCTAACCGGATGCCTACGTCATAACATCTACCTGTATGCCAAATGTCAGCCCGATCCATCCAGTGGTTTGGGCTGTGCGTGTGTGCGTTGATTAATCACTATGTCAGTCAGTCAGTCACCTTTGAGTTACAATTATTTAGATTTCATAGTATGTTGCTCTACATTGCATGCCGTTGAAAAGGGTATCAGTCAATAGAATAAAAAGCAAAACCACTTTTAAATGAGTAAAAACATATATTTTATATCACTCGTCTTTTAAGTTACTACACTTCGACCTAATCGGCCAAACGAACCGGACAGTCGTGGAGAAAAGTATAGCCGAATATACACACAATACACTTACATGTATCTATCTATCTCGTCTAACACACATATATACACGTCTCTAGAGAATTAAATACTATCCAAGAATGTACAGTTACGTACTAAAGTTTTAAGTATATTATATATTTATTTATTATATTTACAACCAGCATAGCTATGGCATACGTAACCCACATAATATTGAAGGAACAATTTACTTTATTCGATATAGGAAAATTTACAATAGTTAAGTCCCACGATATTTTAAGTACGAAATAAATAGATTTTATTTACATAATATTTTAACATAATTAACTGGGTCTATGTATTCGACCTAAGCAATTTGGTACAATGTATGATAATGTCTTATTAACCAATAAAATGCGTATTTTTGTTTGTTAAATTACATTTAAAACAAAATTCAATGCATTCAAATACATCGATCATACTCTTTACCAATAACATAAGAGGTTTACAGTTTTTCATAAAAAGCATCTATAGAAAAGTATTTTTAAGAAAATGCCGATACAATGTTTTAATTAAAAGAAAAAATGTGCTAAAATGCCTGCAATTTTAAAAGCCTAACACTTATTAAAGTTTATTCATAGAAAAATGGCCAAATATAGTCAATTCTACATGAAAATAACATAAAATAAATTGTGATTGTGTAAACAATAAAGAGTGCCAGGAAAACAAAAGAACATTTGACCAGAATCATCCCAATTCAATGACAGTCATTTATCTTTTGACATATTTTGGCCGTTTTCTATGCGAATGTACTTTATGTAAAACATAATACTGAATATAAGATCGCTATATTATTATGAATTCGCTTCGTTATTCTAAAGGAACTGACTTAATAAAACTATGTCGAATTGAGCGATTTATACATTAAATGTGATATTTATATTAACTTCGGCATCGATATCTGCGTTTTGTACGAAACGCCCTAATTATACATATAATAATTATGTTTATATTTTAACCACTTGCAGCATAGACTACAAACCGTTCATAATTTTAATAAAATAAAACATATTTTTATCAAACATAAAATGAACACATAAATAATCGAATCCTAAAAACTAATTGTATTAACATAAGATTATTTACGAAAAAAGCTAAAATACAACAACGATATTATGAAAATGGGAGAAGGCGCTACGTCCAACCAAAACTGTCAAACGCATATTATTTTTCATTAGTACCACATTTCTCCATGTTCATTAAGATCGTTGTCGAAATTACAGACAAATTGAAGGATTTTGTCTATGCCACGAGCGTAGAAACAATTTATAGCTGATTATCAACGTCTCTCTTTGCTAATTAAAAACCAATTATAGTCGTTCTTATCTTCATGAACCGGCGACTCCAATACTAAAATTAAAAAGTTGTTTATCTGTACTTTAAAAAAAAATATGATAACAATTAAAACCAATTTTAATGTTACGCACTAACATAGGGTACCCTTTAAACCTTGTTCCTCAGGGATATATGGTATCTAAGACAAACTTCTTTATCAGGTAGCATCATCCAAAGGACGTTCACTGCTGGACAAAGGTCTAGACTCCAAGAATTTCATCAATGACGGACGAGTCCTTCGCTGGCCACATCAAAGTGCCTTTTGCTAGCTTTACCAGATCATCAGTTCATCAAGTAGGAGGCCTGACTACATATGCCTAGCGAACCGAGTTCGCGACTCTAGAACTATTCTGCCCTAAAATGGTTCCACGAACTACGAGTATGTGCCACTTAATTCTGTGAGCTATGTCGGTTGCAGAAACTTCCCGCGACTTGCAACACATCATCGGTCCATCAAGTACCGCCTGACAACTGGTCCTTGGTCACCACTCCAGAACTTTTCTGCCCCAACCATCAATTCTACCCCTTAAGCTGCCCACTGCCCCTTAATTTTGGCAATTGCGAGCTTTGTCCGTTACAAAAAATAATTTTCTGTAACATTCAAAACCGCGGGAAAGACGTAGGCTAGAAAATTCATAATCGATGAATTAGTGGCAATCAATGGGCGCATAATTAAAAACACTAGAATACATCGTAAAATACCAACATGGCCGCTAATCGCGAGCTAATGAATATCGACAATTAAACCTGCGGGCAATTGAGCTGAAAATGGAAATGGCGGTCATGGTATTTAATTTTAATTTGTATTCGGCGACAAGGGTAATAAGTACCGCGGGTGATAACGATGGACGTACTTTCTAGGATTTAACTAAGCCTGAAATATGCCTAGGCACAGTTGCACCACCTTTTAACCGTAACGATAACAATAACCAGTGTTTTGTGTATGGAGTTTGACAGAGTTTTGACGTTTGTTAAAGATAAAGTAAGATGGTGCAACCCGGCCCTGATGTCTAAAAATTAATCTACGTTTAAGCATAAGTTTGGTTATGGATTCAACTAACACTGTCTTGGACGTGTACTTGAGATTCAGGTTCTTAACATCATTTCAGAGAGATCCATAAAATAAAAATCAAAAATATTTTATTCAATTTAGACCACTAGTGGCACTTGTGAATAAAAAAAGAAGTCCCATGAAAATTTTGAATCGAAACTCAAGCTCAAATCTACACGTGAAAATATTCTGCTTTTTTGATCTAATTTTCAGGTCTAATAAATTCAGCCAATGTTTTTTTTTTGAATTCGTTTAATAAGCTTTGAAACCACAATGAAGCTTTAATATCCTACCTAGAGATAAAGGTGGATCTAAGTCAATCAAAATGACGTGTTTGATTTGATTACCGCAAAAGATTTTGTGCCTTCTCCTGGTCACAATTTTATAGGCATTTGATGATAACTGCCCTAATCCATAATCTCTACTTCTCAGAAAATAAATATACTCAATACTTCAACTCAAAGTCTTTTGTATCATTACAAAAATTATGCAAATCGTCCGAGCCAACTTATTCGTGGCGCAAGTCTGTTTCAAAAACAAATTCATAACGCATTCAAAAGCAGTAAAATCTTTACGACGGAAAACAACAGCGCTCGGTGCACTCCACAGACTAATAAGCTCTTAGACTCTACATTACTAGCTCTTTAATCTTCAGGAACTACCAAACAGTAGACTTAGATGCCAATTCAATGGGAGTAGGATACCATTTACCAATCATTCTAAGACACAACTTCAGTATAGTAAACAATCTAACACAGAAAACCCAATTGTTTTTAATTTACTGTAAAATAAAATTTCTAGTAGTTTCAATAATTTTGTTAGTGAGTTGAGTTGTTCGGTAGTTTTTTTTTTTACATAATAAATCTCTGTGCAAATTGTGCTTTTGATAGCTCAAAACGACAATTATCATACTGGGTGGTATCACTTTTCGTTATTAATGAAAATAATAATAAACGACGAATATACCATCGGAGGAGATAGCAAACATTTGTTGAACAGCTGTAAAAAATATCATGAATGTGAAATGCTTTTGTCACATTACGGCGAATCATGTTAAGCATTGTGCCATCTTTAAGATTTTTTGCAAGAAAACTGTCAAGTCTAACGTGCTAGTGGCTGCGCATTAATGTCAAAATAAATACTAAGCTTTTGCGGCGTCTACGAGCTTAAGTTGTCTGTGACGTGCTCAAAATGGCGAATGAGCTTAATGCACGATTATAAGCCTAATTTGTATTTTCTTTTCCGTCTTTTGTTCGTTTGATTTATGATTACGAGTATCGAGTTCTCGTATCGATTTACGAATCGATTTAAAACAACGTATTTAGGTATTACCGGTGTGGTAATAACTTGTTTTGGGAACGGTATGCGTTTTTAAACAACTAACAATGGATTGAATTTTAATGAAATATTTTCTCTTTGTCTTTTCGACAGACTGTTAGACTTATATAAACACTAGCTTTCCGCCCGCGGCTTCGCCCGCGTGGAATTTTGTCTGTCACAGAAAAACTTTATCGCGCGCGTCCCTGTTTCAAAAACCGGGATAAAAACTATCCTATGTTCTTTCCCGGGACTCAAACTATCTCTATGCCAAATTTCATCAAAATCGGTTGCGAGGTTTAAGCGGGAAAGCGTAACAGACAGACAGACAGACAGAGTTACTTTCGCATTTATAATATTAGTTGGGATTTAAGATCTGCTACTGTATGACCTTTAAGTGACACAATAAATGCTTTATTGATTGATTGATTGATTAGTCAATAAATGTAGAGTCAACCAACGTAGGCCTACGTTCATCAATGTTGACATCTTCTACTTATTTTTGTTTTTTCGCTCTACATTTTTGAGATAATTAGGTTGTGTTTTATATTGTCCTCAAATATAACGCAATTAACTTTTAAAAGTAAAACAAGCAAAAGACAATAAATCTTGTAGTTTCTAAAAGTAGTTTTGACGAAAATAGAGTGGTTTAATTTTAGTCACAAAAATCCCAGAGGCACTATTCCGAAACCTAAAAATAGATTGTAATTAGCTATTTTTATTCTTTGCACAATAGAAAGCAAAAGTTCGTTTCTTCGAAATAAAAAGTAGGTTTTTAAGAAGTCTATCCCTAGTTCATAGTCTTCCCTATAAGTTAATCCGATAAGAGTGTTCATAAAAAACCGATATGTAAAATGTAGAGTCAATAGTGACTATTAATGTAATGAAATTGTGTTTTATAACACGCTTAACTATTGATCTTAGAACCCATAACGCATTCTTGACCATATTAAATATGATTGTAGTCACGTTGTATGCTCACTCCGAGCGCGTACGCCTACCACAGATAATATCGCCCAAATCGGGCGCGTAGACAAATAGCCATAGAGAACAATCGTCAACAGATTAAAAACAATTTCGTGCCGTCCACGCAATTACTGAACGCGATCCGAGCCCAAGATAGACCGTTTCTGAACGTATCTCTTAATAATAGGCCAAACGATGCAATAATCGCCTCCATCTCTATAAATATCGACCGTCCTGCTCCAACGCGCGGTTATTATATCCGCCTATCCTCCTCACCGTTGACAGAGCTCGTTTAGAAACCACGACCTATCAGCCTTTAAGATCTAAATGTCTAATTGTACCCACATCACCGAGGAACGCATTCGAAGAGGCATTTTTAATTAATTTAGCCCCAAAACTATTATAATACGACCAATTTTGTTATCTAATAAGTCATGACGCGCTAACAAGCCGCCATCTTGAAATGTGGACCGTTAAATTAATGACACGTTCCGTTTTCAAAATATGGTTAACAAATTGGTGTGAATTAACCTTTTTTTAGTGAATTGGAGTCGTCGATTGAATTTTGTGGAAGATTAAACTTCATGGTTAGAAATTAAACTTTCTTAATCAAAGTTGGATTAGCTAATCCAACTAGAATCAATCTCGGATCGATTTCGAATAAATAAAGAGTAATTAACGTCTATAACTAACAATTAATATTTACAGTCACTGTGTCCTGAAACTTTTACGTTTCGTTTTCACTTTCACTTAAATCGTCCATATCCATGTCTATTAGTTCTTCGTCTTCTTCGTAGGAGTTGTTGAACTGGCTGCCGTCGTCTGGCTTGGAGCTCGAGGAACCAGATTTGGTGCCAGTCTTTGCTTCTTCTTCTTGCTGCATCCTTTTATGCTTCGTTCTTCTATTTTGGAACCATACTTTTACCTGTGGAAGAAGAAATTTTGATTTTAGTCAATTGTAAAGACGTAATTTACCTACTATACCGATTGTTATACAACTTATTATACATTATGACACATCCTCGTGTCAAATCAAGTTTTTAAAGTATTGAAATCAAATTATGCAAACACGACAAGCTATTACCCTGACGTGTAATTAATAATATGAAGTTATCATTCTAATAACTATTATATGGCCGTGGGAAATAATAAATGTCTTTCCTTTTATTACACATCAAGCATTAACTACAAAAAACATGTTCATAGTAACAAAAAATAATAAACGATAAAGGATTGAGGGAAGAGCCAATAAAAATCCAACGCAACCCTCTCGCGTTCATTTATCATTTACTATTGAAAGAAAATCCAACGTCGAAAAGTTTTCTAGTTTCCCGCGCAAAATCTCCGCCATATTGTGCCATTTGTCACGCGGGTAATGGCTTGTGAAATCTATTCAGATTGTATCCAGCCAGGGTCGGGATGCAAGGCCAATAAACAAGGAGGGTTAATGCGTACTACAGCTTAAAAAGTTTCGTGGAAATAGGTTGGATGTACGGATGCCTTTGCCAATAAAAATAACGGTTAAACTCTTTACTATTTAAAAAAAACTTAAGAGAAACAATATTATTTTGTCAAATGAAGCTGAACATGTAGTTCAAAACACATAATTTTTAACTTGACACCAGCAAGAGGCATAGCATAGACATTTAAAAAAACTTAAAACATATAATATGTTTATAACCAAAAAGTTTTGAACCTAGTAAATATACTCGTATTTTTAGTGCTCTACCTATATCAAACTTAAGGTTAACTCTATCGACTTTAATGACATTTTCATTTACACTTCGATGATGATAATGTTACCATCTGTAAATAAACATTGTCATACTTTCACGCTATTTTATTGTACGTGTGTATTTAGAATTTCATGAAAATACTTAGTATAAATGCATAGCAAGATAGCATAATATCTTTGCTGTATTCTTTGGCAAAAGCCAATTCGTAATAATTCAGCCTACAAATGCATTGTTTTTATACAAAAACCAATAAAACTGTATTCCATTGAAATTATTTTACTGGTGACTTTATCAACTACAAGTAAATGTAATTTATTGCATGTTTGTATGTAATTTCACGGCAATGTATTACCGCTTACATATTGGAGTGGTGTTTTAAAAGCAATACAGTTTATGCTTATGGAAAATTGGAAAATTATTGCCAATTGAAAAAGCTAAGACGCCATTTTGGTATTGCTTATTTTATGTTCGATAACGAATGATGGGTTTAACGTTTTAGTATTCGATTGTTTTGCGCGAAATGTTTTTCTTGTTACATACATTTTGAATAATACATAAAAAAGCTAAACTTGTCTCAACCTTAAAATGTAGGTTAACAAAATGTCCACGTCGCGAACGAATTTAACCAAAAATAACACATTTATCGATATTTACTTCTAAGTTTTAACATACTGTTGACAACTCTCCCAGAATTTCGCTACTAAGTAATAAAATAATGCTAATGATAAAAATATGTATCCGAATGACAAAAAGAACGTGATCTCTACATAAATTCATAAAAATAGTCCAACAAAAACATTATTGTCACAAAAAAATATCTTTCGTAATTACACTAGTCTCAAAATACTTTCAGCACCTCCAATCTAACGCGATTACTAATTTAATTTGCTTCATTAATGTTCTTAAATTAACGTTGTCCAATGATGCGACTAGAGCTGAGAAAAAAAAAGTTTTTTTTTTTGTTTTTAGCAGAAAAAGCGAAGGCATCTGATTGGCCGATGCTTTCCAGTCCAGAGGCTGGGGGGTTCCCTTCTAATACGGCATTAGTATGGCCACGGTACATTAAGTGGGTACCAAACATCAAATATCAATCAGGGAGCTTCCTGGCCTTTTGAGGGTAATGGTGCGTGGAGAGGGGAGCGTGATGGTGTGTTGATTGGTGGATTTAAATATCGGAGGTTTATTGATTTCAATTTGTTTAGGTTATAGTAAAGCTTCCATGTTTAGTTTTAATAATGCACTGATTTATTAATGAAATAGTAAATTGACATTTAAAATGTTTTGCCGGTTTAGTTTTAAACATAATGCATGGCATTATTTACAAATTAAACACTAAATAAAAAATGTAAAATACATTTTTGACAAAAAACTATATTAATTCACTGAAAAAAATGTTTAGTTACTGCTTACACAAAAAAGTGATCACCAGACACTTTGCTTTGAGGAACAAAATGTTGTGTAAATTAAACAAACAATTTTGTAGTGATCTTNCTAAATTTGGTTTGGTTATAAATAGTTAACATTTACTTTGCCAGTAATTTTCAGAAAATAGCACCTAATTCCTGTACATCTATCTATACTAATATTATAAATGCGAAAGTAAGTCTGTATGTCTGTCTTGCTTTCACGCCTAAACCACTGAACCAATTTTGATGAAAGGCATAGAGATAGTTTGAGTCCCGGGAAAGGACATAGGAGGATAGTTTTTATCCCGGTTTTTGAAATAGGGAAGCGCGCGATAAAGTTTTTCTGTGACAGACAAAATTCCTTGAGGGCGAAGCCGCGGGCGGAAAGCTAGTTCATAATACTTAAGTACAGTCGACAGCACATCAAGCTATACATTTTCGTTGCAATGTCGCCCCTATCGCAACTACGTAAGATACCACAGTGTTTACGTTGACGTGCTGTTGACCGTACATGCAATGAACAAAATGCATTAAGAAAAGTCTGTCATTCGCACAACCTCAACGGAAGGTATGTAACACATACCTCACTTAATGTAACACATACCTCATTTTAATGCCGACAATTAACTCCTCAGCGTTACATTGTCTTCTTTTGTTTCCCTATTATCCTCATACGACTGTAAACCATACAGTATATTTAGCAGTCATAAATCTTAATTTTACTGCCTATACAACCGAGTAAAATTCGGCTTTGTTCTCACAAACGGCTCATCAACTTTAACATAGTTCAATCTTATTCAGTTATATTAAGAGCTATATTAAAACAAAAATATACAGTCCCATGTGCTGTGCAATAAGTAAGCAATAACTACCAGGTTTTGTGAGTAGAGATGTCATTTCGTTAACCCTTTGTGTGCGTGATGACATTGTAAGCAATGGAATGGAAGGTATGATTAGTACGGAGTTACTGTTAATACTTAACGTGTTCATACTGTTCATGTTTGGAGGCTTTGTTGTAGTAAAAGCATAATTTCTGTGTGAATTTTCCGCTTAACTATCAGTAACTATCCGTTTTCGAGTAAGGTTTTTCAGCAAAATATAGCAAATTAAGCAAAATTATTTAAAAAAAATAGGTTGATTGGCGCGAAAAGGTAACTGCTGGTTAACTTTCGTTTGCATTTAAAGTAATTTTAAATATGTAGAGACTATCCACTTCCAATAATATTATTTCCGGCTCTATCTACTTCAAGCATTCAAGTTTTCATTAAAGAAAACTCTATAGTTATTTCTTATTCATAACTAGCTGACCCGGCGAACTTTGTTCCGCCTTAATGGCAATAAATAACGGGATAAAAAGTATCCTATGTCCTTCTCGTGGCTCTAAACTACCTACCTGACAATTTTCAGCTAAATCAGTTCAGCCGTTCTTGAGTTATAAGTGGAGTAACTAACACGACTTTCTTTTATGTATATAGATTTATCTATTTAATATTGAGAAACAACTAAATTAAAGATATAGGCTAAGTTATTGCGTAAAATTAAATCAATTTCTACATTATTTATTTTATCAAACAACACTGATAATCTCCTTTTTAGAAGATTGACTGTTCCCTGTCAATATTTCAAATTTTAATAATTTTTTATTCCAAACAAGTAGCAAATAAATTGGCTCCATTCTCCAGCAGGCATCTCATTTTTCACTCAAAATCTGAGCGAGACAAAACATACATAAAACATGACTTACAACGCTATACGTCTCCCAAGAGTTATTCAGGAATTAGGGTCCCGTAAAACTTACGAAATGAACCTTATTTCATTGGGGAAGGGGTCAGAATTGGTTGGCAAAGTGTTAATGGGCCCCAGGGACCGTTCACCATGGTTTCGCAAATTTGAACTGTTAGTATTGATGAGTTGTTCATGATACCAATCTCAATTGGGGTTTGCGGGTGTGCCCCTTGATTTAAAATAAATAAGGTGAATTAATACTCACCGTGTTTTTAATTTAGCTTTATTTCTGTGTTGCCATATGTTCTAAAATGTTACTGGGAGTTGAGAAATTCTGAAAACTTCATAAGTCTTCTTATATTTGAATTAAGTTAATTTAACGGTTATAATAAAGACTGAAATAGTCGTTTTCTTACTTAAATTTATCACGATCTACGTTATAAAATCATCTAAATATTTATTACACTTGTGAACACAAAACCTATGTAAGAAGCTGTAACTTTTTTATTTTACTGTATACTTTCAGATGTCCAAGAAAGACGGATCATCGGTTGTCATACACACTTGAATTGTTAGATAAATGATCCATACTTATTTTGTTTTCCGCAATTTAGTGCAATCACACAAAAGTTGAATGAAATTGACCCATAAATTCATTTACTACGTTTTGAACTTCGACCGACCGTAAACTCGCACACAAAAGCGTTACAAACAACTGTCCTAAACAATAAATGAACAAGCAATTATCGTCTTCTGATGCAAATTTAATGCCCCAACTCCACCCGTGGAATGACAATAAAATTTTAATTCCCCCTCATACAGAGAAAAATGCATCTGCCGACATTGTTACCCGAAAGAATACCCCGCGGAATAGTAACCAACTGTGTCGATCATTCTCGAATAATAAAACTCATAAGTCTCCACAAACAATTGCTTTAATAGGGTAGGGAGAGCACATCATAACGCTACCCGTACTAAATAAATAGAGGGCAGCACTGGCAACACGGCCCAAATGCGATTAAGTACTTATGTACGCGATTATACCGTTCCCCTACGGA